TAATGTCACAAAATTAGAAAAAGAGCCATCCGTATTACGTCGAAAGAAGCGCTCAACAGGAAGTCGATTCCAATTAAAAATATGAATTTCAGCGTAGCATTTTTCGTCAGCGGAAGCCAAAAATTCCATTGGCTTATAAAGAAGAGACGCAAGTGTTTCAGAAACAGCACGAATTTCGTTCAATGAAGTATTATTCATAGGAAAAACACCTCGATAATCAGCAATTTCACTTCTATAGGGCTGTTCGTATTGAAGATTAGCAAGATCTGAACGGCGATCTACAACCATATGTGACGGAGTATAAACATATTCGTTTCTGCGTAAGAGACGCCATGGATTGCGTGATGAGTCGAAGGCCTAAATTAAAATAATAGGAACTTATATGATTTAGGTCAGGGTTCGGATTCGTACTTATTTTGGATTAACGTTGATTGATGACGAAAGGAGGAAAAAGGGCTATGCTTAAAAAAGTACCTAACCCATATACCTATTTTCCAAATATCCTTTTTTTATATTTTCCATATATTTTCCAATAACCGTTTCTGAAGATTGCATAAAACGTCTCGAAGTCCCCTCGGCATACTCATCAGCCTGAGATTCGGAATCTGACTCATGTCTGCGCCTCTTGCGTTTCTTGTGCTTGCTTGCTCCAACGGATTCTCCCTCTGCAGAAGATGAGGAAGATGAACGCCTCTTATGCTTCTTCCTCTTACGTGATTTTTTCTCAACAACAACAACTTGAACCGTAGGTGGCTGTCGATCAAAGGCAGAACTGGATTCACCCTTAAAGGTTACTTTTAAAGATAATAACATTTATTTAAAAAATATATACCATTGGAACAAAATCTGGATCGTCATCATCAAAATTAACTTGCTTTGTACCAACCCAACTTCTTTCTTGCTCAAGTCGAATTCCAGCTTGGATTTGGTTCTGGATATATCGATCAGTCGTTTCTCGTTGTCTTGATTCATAAGCTTGCATCAAATGATCCTGAGTCGTAGTAAACAAATTTAAGTCTGATGGAGGTTCAGAATGACCGAAGCTATCAAAAGGCAAACGCTGGAAACGCTGCCCATCTGGAAAGCCAGAAGACATACTATCCCGTGATCTTCTACTATTTCTATCATTTCGACTATTTCTATCATTTCGACTATTTCTATCATTTCGACCATTTCTATCCTCTCGACTATTTCTACGATACGCAGGGAATATTGACGACATTTTTAGTCTAAATAAATCAGGAAGGTGATTAGTATAATGAAAAACACAATAAAACAATAAAATTGGGACATGCCCAGCTTTGCGACCATAACGACGCAAAGCCATAACTGGCTGTGGCTCTCATTAATTTTGGTCCCGATCTCTTTAGCTTGATGAAAGGAATCGCATAATACTAAATTAACGAAAAAAACCGGGTTCGAGGGTTAAGAAAGTTATGGCTTTGCGCCGTTATGGCCGCGCGCCTACCTGAGCTGTACCCGGTTATAAGAATTTCCCTCATTGACACTCAAACTCTGCGATGAAGTTGGCACTTAACGGAGGCTATTAATTATTGGCACTAAAACTACTGCAAATAAAGTAAAAAAGTTTGGGTGGGGACGATTCAGTACCGCCGATTCAGTACGGCCGATTCAGTATTTGGGCTTTTTGGCCATAACTTTTTGCTCGATCAGTATTGTAGGAATTATCATACACTCTGTAACAAAAAGATAGCGCCACCTAGTTTTTTATCAATATCTCAACAAATATGAAACGAATCTGTCTCAAATTTTGCTAGAATATGTATAGGTATGAATATTAAGTATCAATAATGAAAAAAAGTTGAATATAATTTTTTAAAAAATTTTATAACAATAAATTTGATTTTAGAGTGTAACATAAAGATAGCGCCACTCTCGATTATTTGATTTAAATAAAATATATTCATGTAAAAATAAAATTTAATAATGTGTAAGACCACCCTTATTTGCAATAACTTCAATTAAACGCTTATTCATTGTTCTAATTAAATTTGTTATTGTTCTAATAAATTGTTCTAATAAATTCATTGTTCTAATAAAATCTATTCTAGCTTTTTTGTGGGCATCAGTGAGTTGAGGACAGGCTCGAAGACTTTGGCATACAACGTTAGAAGACATTTTAGCAGCGCGCCATACTGTCATGTGCGATACCTGAGGCGAAATTGCATCACGAACCTGGCGAACGCCCATACGAGAATTTGTCAGGTTCGCAAGAATTCGCCTTTCTGTCCGCGCACTTAGCTTTTTTGGCCTGCCAGGGCTTTTCTTCTTTCCATAAGCATCAATATTGCGCAAAAAATTGCTAATAACTTTAACTGAGCGGCCAATTCTGCGCGCAATCCAACGATATGAACGACCACCTTCATAGTAAGCAAGAATTTGACCTTTTTCGATATCAGAAAGACTTTTAGCGCGTCCCATTATGTATAAAATAATTGTCTAAATTAATATAAGATTGAAAAATCTAATATACTAAAGGCAATACAACGAAAAAAACAAATAATCAAGAGTGGCGCTATCTTTTTGTTACACGCTTAAATCAAAATTATGGTTGTAAAATTTTTTGCCAAAGATAGAAATCTTTTTTTCTTTACATTTTAGATGTACTATGTCTTAATTAACATTTTGCCAAAATTATAGACAGATTCGATTCAAATTTTGTTGAAATATTGATAAAAAACAAGGTGGCGCTATCATTTTGTTACAGAGTGTATATGATTTGGTAGGCCTCGGGGTGCTGCATCTTTTTCATAATTGGACTAACCTGATATGTTCATTCTACAAAAAGTTTTATCACTGATAAACGACGTCACAGGCATAAAAATCTGTTTTCACGCTGTAACTTTTTTGATCATCAGATCAGATCGGGCCAATTATGAAAAAGATGTCGAATCTCGAGACCTTTCGATTGATATGAGAATTATTCGAATCGGTCGAATATCAGGAAAGTTATGACCATATACTGAATCGGCGGCGATTCAGTGATACTGAATCAATTGAGTCCCGGACCCTATAACTTATGAAGGGATGGTCACTTTTTGTTACTCTTAGTACCATTGGATATGGCATTAAATAGGCTACAATATACCAAAAAATCAAAATTCTTGACCGACTGGTAAAAAAGTTATGATCGATAAAGTGCCGAAAAATCAGATTTTTTTTGAAAAAGTTAGCTTTTAGATCATAACTTTTTTATCAATCGGCCAAAAATTCTGATTTTTTGATATTTTGTAGAGCTTTTGATTCTCTAACCAATGATACCAAAAACATTAAAAAGTGACCATTCCTTGCTGAGTTATAGGGCCGGGCTCAGTTGAGCCGGGACTCAGTTGAACTGCTCCGCCATTTAACCGTGTTGTAAAACTTGTCGATTTTCCATATTTTTTACTTTTTGTTGTTTTTATTTAATTATTAAAATACAAATTAACATTTTTTATAGATGGACAAGCTTACTGAAGGTATGCAAGTTGAAATAATAAGGTCGGATGGTCGCGTTCATGGAGCCATTATTTGTCAAATAAACCACAAAACTTCTAGCGTTTCTGTTGAATGGTTTGAAAAGGTTTGCATTTTAGAAGTTTGTATCGCATTTTCAATCTTTAGGGAGAAACAAAAGGAAAAGAAGTTGATTTTAATGCCTTAGTGAAACACAATCCGCTTATTTTTCACACAAAAACGGATCCACCTGAGGTACCTGTTGCTAATGGAGATATTACAAAAGTTGCTACCGCCAAAAAACAAACAAACTCTAATTTGATCGAGCCAAAAACAAAGACTAATAAAAGGTTTTTCAATATTTGTTAGTACAAAATCCAAATAAATTTAGGAATGGAAATGTTGGTCTTTCTCTTCAAGAACCAACTCCCAAAAATAATCGTCAAAAGAGTTTTCCAGTTGCTCCAATTAAAATAAACTTTCACGATCCAGAGCATTTTGAGCAAAAAGAAACAAGAACGTCAAAGCTTGGACAAAATGCAGTTAGTAAAGATACTGGGAATCCTCAACAGACATCAAAAATTCAAGGTTATTATTGCTAGTTATATTAGAGTAGATTTCACTTTTTGTTTCTAACGTCGAGCGGTGTCGAACGTCACCATAATTTATGGACATAGTTTTGAGTCACGACATAAGCCTTTGAAAATTGAAACCCATAGCAAAGACTACGCTCATTTTTGAGTAAAAAATTTGATTATACAAATCATGACTCATTAGATACTAAAGTTGGTACTAATTTAGTTTCCCCCCCCCCAGTCAGTTTTTTCGAAAATTATGTAAAAATGGTCAGTCTGAACAACAATTGTAGAACCCATCGAGCTGTGTCGAATGACACCAAAATCAACAAAATCCGACTTGATTTGACCGAAATACAGACCCCTAAAGCACAGGGGCACAAAATCATAAAGACCAAAATCTATACAATTGATAGCTCATTTGAAAGAGCTCGTCGAGCTGAGTCGAATGAGACCAAAATCAACGAAATCCGACTTGATTTGACAAAGTTATGACATAAGTCATCGACTCCGGCAGGTCTAAATAATGTCGTAACTTTGTCAAATCTTGTCCGATTTTGTTGATTTTGGTCTCATTCGACTCAGCTCGACGAGCTCTTTCGAATGAGCTATCATTTGGGTAAACTTTTTTTATTTCAAAAAATCACCCCCATGGTTGTTCAATTTTTAGGGGTCTGTATTTCGGTCAAATCAAGTCGGATTTTGTTGATTTTGGTGTCATTCGACACAGCTCGATGGGTTCTACAATTGTTGTTCAGACTGACCATTTTTAAATAATTTTCGAAAAAACTGACTGGGGGGGGGGGGGGGAAACTAAATAAGACTGGGGGGGGGGGGGGGGGGGAAACTAAATAAAAAAAAAAAGTTTACAAACTTGACTTAATCGTACAAAGTTAATATAGGTAATTTATTCTAGTTAATAAAATGGCCATTCGAATTTAGATTAGACTCATGAAGGGAAACTAGTCCTTATATTATTCTATTTCATATTTTTGTTTTGCAGACATTGATAAGCTTGTTGTTGGGATGAATGTCAACATTAAGCGTTCTGATGGACGCATCCATGGTGCATTAGTTACACAAATTGCTAGACTCACTGGAATGATTTCTGTTGAATGGTTTGAAAGGGTTTGTATTTTATTTATCTTCATCGATTTTTTTTAAATTAGGGTGAGACAAAAGGAAAGGATATTGAGCTGGCCGCAATTGTTAAGAACAATCCTGAACTGTTTACACCTTCGGGTCTTCATACATCCCGATCTCGTCAATCCATTTCATCATTGAATCACGGTATTTCATTCAATTCTGTTGATTTTTGAAAAGTTCAAATTTAGGACAAACTCAACCGCCAACAACTGCTTCCTCTTCTGCAATTAATACAACTGTTGCCTTTGTTGACAATGATAAGGTTATTGGTGAGCGAAGGTTTGAATTAATTTTTATAATTTTTTAAACATTTAATTTAGACGTACACATGCCATCCCTAATGTCAACAATAAGTCTGATAAGAAAGAAGTTGCAGTACTGGTTGACATTGACGAGGATGTTATTATTAGTTCAGAACCAGTGCATTTTACGGATGGTTTTTTTTATATTTTATGGAATTATAATAAAGATAAAAATTTAAGAGAATCAGCCTAATAACATTCCTGCTTCCTCTGCGGCACAATTATCGAGACGGTCTAAATTACTAACAAATATTGAGGATATGGAGAGGAATCGTGAACAAAGGAGGGTTCAACAGGTTGATTGTCTTGCTTTTATTAAATCAAATTTCTAATTATTTTTCTCTCAACGTTTTTTTATTTCTTAAAATTTGTAAGGATGTGGCACGCAAACAACGAGAACTCCAAATGCAAATCGATCCAGGAAATCCTCATTGGGAGTTTCTTTCCATGATCCGCGATTACCAATCTCAACTTGTCTATCGTCCTCTTCGAATTACAGATCCGGTTTTAGACAACCGAATTTGTGTCTGTGTTCGCAAAAGACCGTTAAGTAAAAAAGAATTGATTGGTAAAGAGGTGGAGGTGGTTACTATTCCAAACAAGGATCGAGTTATTGTACACCAGCCTCAAACAAAAGTTGATTTAACAAAATATCTGGTTAATCAACAATTTAAATTTGACTACACCTTTAATGAAAATTCTTCAAATGAACTGGTTTACAAGTTCGTTTTTATATTTTATTTTACTTTTCTCATTTCATTTTTTTAGATTTAGTGCACAGCCTCTTGTCAGGACTATTTTTCAAAGAGGTTTCGCTACTTGTTTTGCATATGGTCAAACAGGCTCTGGAAAGACACATACAATGGGCGGTATAATTGAGGGAAAACATCTTGATTGTAGTGCTGGCATTTATGCAATGACTGCTAATGATGTCTTTGCTTTATTACATTCGCCTGAATATAAAAATGAATGTTTAATGGTCGCCTGCAGTTTTTTCGAGATCTACGGGGCAATGGTCAATTTTAATTATTTTGATCAAATATATATTATAAATCTTTAGTTATTTAAAAAATTTGTAGGTTTTTGATTTGCTCAACAAAAAGGCAAAGCTACGCGTCTTAGAAGATGCAAAACGCGTCGTTCAAGTTGTTGGTTTAAAGGAGTTGAAGGTTAACAGCGTTGAAGATGTAAATATTTATTTTTTGAATTTTATTAAATTAAACAATTTTTAGGTATTAAAAATAATCAAACTTGGCTCAAATCAACGTACCGCTGGACAAACTTCCGCTAATTCTAATTCGTCTCGTTCTCACGCTGTGTTCCAAATTATTCTTAGGAAGCGGTATTTAATTTCAAAAAATTATTTTTATTTCAATTTGTATAGTGAAAAAAATGAAGATGCTTTATATGGTAAATTTTCTCTTATTGACTTGGCGGGTAATGAACGTGGAGCTGATACAATTAGCTCTGACAGACAAACTCGTCTTGAAGGAGCTGAGATTAACAAGTCTTTGTTGGCATTGAAAGAATGTATTCGGGCTATGGGACGTGATGAACAACATATTCCCTTCCGGGGCTCTAAGCTCACTTTAATTCTTCGCGATTCATTTGTGGGGAAATATGCTAAAACTTGCATGGTTAATTTTATTTTTGTATTATATGCTTATCCTCTTTTTTATTTAAGATTGCTATGATCAGCCCTGGAATTAGCTGTGTTGAAAACACCATGAATACACTCCGATATGCTGATAGGTAATTAAATTTTGTGTATTTCTTCATTTAATGTCGTCTAATTTAGAGTTAAAGAACTTGGTGGTGAGAGGGATGATCAAGACGAACAACAAGCAGAGGACGATGAAAACTTTTTGTGGAGCGATGACGAATAAAGTATAGATTTTTCTTCTGCATTCCTTCTAATTAATGACATTAACTTTGACGTTAAATTCTTTCAGATATTAGGCTTTTAAATACAGAGCTTTCCATACTCTATTATAATACTATTCCATGTATACTCACGAAACAAAAAATTATTTTGTAAAATCTTGCTTTTTCTTTAAAATAACTTCAAAATCTACTAGTATATATCTTCTGCTTTCTTTAAATACTCTTGTCTATATTGACTTGCTTCTATATAATCTCCACATTATTTTATGGCAATTATTACTATTTAGTATTTTTATTGGGTAAATTTTGGAAAAATAAATTTTGTATGAACGTGTATTTTTCAATTTTAACCAAAGTATTTTAACATCTTTTAAGTATTTCGGTATTCAATTATATTGATGTTTCTAGTATAAGATTTTTCCAATAACGTTTTTAGATTTGATTGTGATTAAAATTGTTTAGTTAAGGATCTACAAATTTTTAGATGGCTCCCAAAACTCTTCGTCCATATATTAAATCATCATTTAAATCTGTTTTACATATTGACTATAATTCTAATATAAATTATAAACAAATATTGGAGGAATTGAGTAATTATTTAAAAAATGCTGGATTTGCTAAAAAGACAAAGAAAGAAATGAAAATAAATTCTTTAGAACAAAAAGGGAAAGAAGAATTAACTTCTAATGGTAGGTATTGTTTTTAATTTAGATAAAGACATCTAACAATAAGCGTCCTCTAGAAATGAAAAATATTTGAGTTTTCCAAGACACAAAGTATTTGGAAAAAATTTAATTTCAAATAATTTTTTTCAAAGTTTTTAAATTATTTGCCTATAAAATGAATATAATTATTTGTTTAAACTTGTTAGAGTTAGTATATTGTTTATATAAAAATTTAAGATATTTTAACGAATGGGGAACGCAAAATGTTGGTACGTATTGGAATTAGATCTCTCTTTAGAGAAATTAAAAATAAAGCAAATTTAGAAGATAATTTAATGTTACAAGATGCAATTGTTCTTTTTGATATTTGTTTATTTAATACTTCATCTTTGTCACAAATATTTTCATTTTATGCATTAAAGTATTTTTTAAAAATAATTTAAAAATAATTTTCTTTTCTTTTTAGTTTCCCTTCAATTAAATTTTTTGTTATTCCTCAACTTTCAACAACATTATCTTCAAAATTAAATTTTAAAAGTTTTTCTTCAATACTTATTTTTAATAAAGAAGAAAATAAAAATATTAGAGAATTAATTTTAACAAATTTAAAACCAATTGAAAAAGCTGGTGAAGAAAAAAATATTTTTAAAACCCCAAAATTGGTTACACCGATTGGAAAGAATTTTGGAAAAGAGAAAAAGAAAGGACAAAAAAAGAAAAAGAATTGAAATTTTAATTTAAAATTATTTTTTAAATTTTGATTATTTTATATTATTAATAAAGATTAAAAAAATTTTTTTCCTCAATTATGTGTTTTGTCAAAAAAATCAACAAAGGTGGAACAAAATAAAAATTAGCAAAGTTTGTTGCCTCTAGGCTTTTGTTTTTATATTTTTTACACTCAATTGTTAATTTACAAATTATTTTCAATTGATTGTTGTTATTCTCTTTAATTTCCTTCGCGCGTCCTCTAATTTTTACCTAATTTAAAAAAATGGTTATTTTTCTCTAAAAATATTTTTATATAAATGCACTCCTTTATTTTTTAATTTAATTTAAAATTGGACAGAAAAAAAGTTTTCCTTTTATTTTTAAATCTTTTCATACCAAAAAATTAAATCAATTAAAAATAGCTAAATTTTTTTGCAAATTTCTAAATTTATTTAGGTAGAAATTAATAGAAATTAATCCAAAAATTATTATTTTTTGTTCTAATTAGAAAAACCCCTTTAAATAATAAAATCTGTCTATAAATAAATAATTAATTAAAAAATTATTTCCTATTTTTCCTCTCATTTCTAAAAAAATTAAATTTATTTAAAAATGACCATCTCTTATGAAGAAGAGGTAAATAAAATAGTAAATTTGTTTTTAAATTTAAAAAATTAAAAGTTTTCCTCGTCAATGCTTAGATGGCGAGGGTCTATATGGAAAGCTGTATTAAAAGATTTAATTGGATTTTATATTGCTTATTATGTTATTCTTTATGTTCAGGTATGGGGAAGACAAGAAAATTTTTTTTGGGGGGTTTCCTAAAATGAATGTTTATTCCGAAATATGTATTATTTCCTAATTTTTTAAAAAAGAGCATATCTTTTTTCATAATAAAAAATTCTAAAAAAAATTTTCAAAAAAAATTCAAAGTGGGGATTAATGGACGAAAAACAAAAAGAATATTTTACTGGATGGATTAAATGGTGTGAAATAGGTACTCAATATATTCCTCTTTCTTTTCTGCTTGGTTTCTTCGTAGCTGTTGTTGTTGCTCGTTGGTGGGAACAATTTAATTGGATTAGTTGGCCAGACAAATTAATGATGGTTTTTGAAATAAATTTAAAAAAATATTTTTTAACAAAAAATTGAAGACAGTCTCAACTTGTTTACCCGGAAAAGAAAATTTAGAAGTAAGAAAAACAATTGCTAGATGGTCATCTTTACAGTCAGCAATTGCTTGGACTGGAATTTCTGTTAGAACATTAAAAAGATTTCCAACAGAAAGACATTTAGTTGAGAGTAAATTAATGACTGAAGAAGTATGTAATGGAGGGATAAAGAAATTTAGAAATAAATAATTTTAAAGGAATATGATTTATATATGTCTGTTAATGCCCCCCATGGTAAATGGTTTGTTCCTCTTCTTTGGATTTTAAATTTATTAAAACAACAATTACGAGAACGGAGAATAGATACTGTCCAAATGCAAATGTTGGTAGATCAATTATACAAATTTCGAGATGGTTTTGCTATGTTGTATGTATATGATTGGGTTAAAGTACCCTTAGTTTATACACAAGTAATTAATTGTTTTAATTAATTAATAGAGGAGATATGAAGAGAGGGAGAAGATCAAGAATGGTTTAGCGGGTTCTAAAAAACCCTCCGTTTCTTAATACTTATTTTGGTACTGTGTTTTGGAAACCCTATCTAAGTATACATGCTTTCTATCGAAAAACTTTTCGGATTTTTGAGTTTAATTATTTTAAATTATTCGAAAAATAAAAAATTCTTCAAAAACAGAAAGAAATTATTGTTGACTTTTTTAAATTTAACTCCAATAATTTATCCTTATATATAATTTTTATTCATAAATAAAAAAAAGATTTGAAAATTAATGATAGAATTATAAAAATATAAAAATTACCTAATTTAAAAATAAATAAAAGGTTGTTGCAATAGCTACTTATGGTTATTTTTTTATTTGTTTAATTGGAAGGCAACCAAAATTAGATTCAAAATCTATGGAACAAGAAATAACTATTTTATTTCCAATATTTACAACATTCCAAATGCTTTTTTATATTGGTTGGTTAAAAGTTGGACAGTTTTTAATGAATCCATTTGGAGGTTTTTTAGAAAAAAATATTAAATAAATTTAAATATTTTTTCAGAGGATGACGACGATTTTGGTTTGTTTTTGGAAATAAAATATTTTTTTTTAATTTTTAAAGAATTAAATTATGTACTCGATCGAAATACTTATATTGCTTATATGATGGCATCTGAATTAGCTGATCAATTACCTTCTAAAATAACTGATGAAATGACTGTATTATTACCCCATACTAGAGCTTCATTTAAAATACAAGTAAACACTAATATATTTATTTGGATATACTAGCGGAGTTGGTCGGCCTTCGGCCGCCCCACCCCGCTAGCAAAAACAAAACAAACCAAAAAACAAACTCCAAATCACAACCTCAAAATTGGCCCTAATCCAATCATAATCAGAAAAACCCGATAGTCAAAACATTGACCAGCATTAAAACAATACCTTATTACCAAAACATTTAACAAAGCAAAGCATCTAATAGGCGCACCTGATAGGGTACACACAGGTGCTCGTGTGACTCCGCTAGCATTACAAAACAATTCAACTCAAGATCCGATTCAAAAGCCTTTGGCCGGCCCATCTCGCTTACCCATTTTTTCTCCTCACAATTTCGCCTGCTTCACAATTCCCTCTGTTTCAATATTCCGCCTACTTCTCAATTCCCATTGTCTCACAATACCGCCTGCTCTACAATTCTCCGCTTCACATCACCCTTCATTCTCCTGCTTCAATATTCCGCCTGCTTCACAATTCCCCTATTTCAATATTTCTCCTGCTTTACAATTCATCTTGTTTCAATATTCCGTCTGCTTTACAATTCCCCTTGCCTCTCACAATACCGCCTACTTCACAATTGCACCTGTTTCAATATTCGACCTGCGTTACAATTTCCCTGCTTACATATTCCACCTGCTTCACAATTCCCCCTTCGTCAATATTCCGCCTGTCTCACAATTCCCGGTTTCAATATTCGACTGAAATTTGACGCCTAGCACTTCAAATGAAATTTGACGCCTAGCACTTCAAATGAACGTTGACGCCTGGCGCTTCAAATGAACGTTGACGTCTAGCACTTGACACATGAACGTTGACGTCTAGCACTTGACACATGAACGTTGACGTCTAGCACTTGACACATTAACGTTGACGCCTAGCACATAACAAATGAACGTTGACGCCTGGCACTTCAGGTGACGTTGACAGCTAGCGCTTGACACATGAACGTTGACGTCTAGCACTTGACAAATGAACGCTGACGCCTGGCACTTCAAGTGACGTTGACAGCTAGCGCTTGACACATGAACGTTGAACGTCTAGCACTTGACACATGAACGTTGACGCCTGGCACTTGACAAATGAACGTTGACGCCTGGCACTTCAAGTGACGTTGAACGTCTAGCACTTGACAAATGAACGTTGACGCCTGGCACTTCAAGTGACGTTGACAGATAGCACTTGACACATGAACGTTGACGTCTAGCACTTGACAAATGAACGTTGACGCCCAGCACTCAAGAGGACACAGGACCCCAGCAAACGTAGTCGTAGAACAGAGCGCAGTAAAGTTGAGAAGTGTTGAAAGCAGTTGAAGAATGACTAAAATACCCTGCTTTTATACTATATTCCTACCCTTACAACCTATTCAACTGGCAACGCTTTACTATAAAAACCCCCCTTTTCCTCACTCCCCCAAATCATTTTACTATAAAAGCCCACTTGTCTATAAAAGGACAGACAGACGGACAAACAAACACACAAACCCTTCTCAATTATATAATAAGATTTTTAATTAAAAAAAGGATATAATTCCAAAAGGAAGTTTGGCTGATTTTCAAATAACGGCAAAAGAAATGCAATTAATCCGAACAGATGAATTAGAAGGAGCAATGAAAGAATTGGAAGAAAGAGAGAAAAGAAGTAGAAAAATAAGTATGCCAACAGTTTTGAGATCTGGAGGAAGGAAATCAACAAAAAAGTAAAAAATATGAGGAAATATGAGGAATATTTAAATTTATTTTTTAGTTTAAAAACTTCAAGTGTTGATGGAGGGCATATTGATGAAAGAAAACAAATGATGATAGAAGAAGAAGAATTGGAGGAAGATAGAAGCCAAAAATAATTTTTAAAAATATTTTTAAGTTAAAGCGGATAAAGATATTAATGAATAAACTGTGATATATTGACTGTGTCCTTTTGATAATAATTTGTAGAATTTTTATCTGCTTTTGAACTTTGTCTACTAAAAATATTTTTGTGATAATTAAAAATATAATAAAGTATTTATTATTTGGGTATTTTATAATAGTAAATGTTTCTAAATTAAAAATTAAAACAAATCAGCATTCAAAAAATGAAAAAAACAAGAGAAAACAGTGCTATGAATGGAAATACAATTGTAAAAGAGAGTAACTCTATCTTATTATATAATTGAGAAGAGTTTGTCCGTTTGTTTGTCTGTCCTTTTATAGACAAGTGGGTTTTTATAGTAAAATGATTTGGGGGAGTGAGGAAAAGGGGGGTTTTTATAGTAAAGCGTTGCAAGTTGAAAAAAGTTGTGAGGGTAAGCAGATAGTATAAAAGCAGGCTATTTTGGTCAGTCTTCAACTTCTCAACATTGCTGTGCTCTTCTACGTCAACTTTTGCTGGAGTCCTGTGTCTTCTTGAGCTAGACGTCAACGTTCATTTGTCAAGTGCTAGGCGTCAACGTTCATTTGTCAAGTGCTAGACGTCAACGTTCATGTGTCAAGTGCCAGGCGTCAACGTTCATTTTTAAGAGATAGGCGTCAACGTTCATTTGTCAAGTGATAGGCGGCAACGTTAATGTGTCAAGTGCTAGGCGCAACGTTTATGCAGGCAGAATATTGAACAGGGGGAATTGTGAAGCAGGGGGAGTTGTGAAGCAGGCGGAATATTGAAACAAGGGGAATTGTGAAGCAGGCGGAATATTGAAACAGGCGGAATATTGAATAAGGGGAATTGTGAAGCAGGCGGAATATTGATAAGGGGAATTGTGAAGCAGGCGGAATATTGAAACAGGCGGAATATTGAACAAGGGGAATTGTGAAGCAAGCGGTATTGTGAGAGGCAAGAGGAATTGGTAAGGAGGCTGAATTTTGAAACAAGATGAATTGTGATGCAGGCGGAATATTGAACAAGGGGAATTGTGAAGCAAGCGGTATTGTGAGAGGCAAGAGGAATTGGTAAGGAGGCGGAATTTTGAAACAAGATGAATTGTGATGCAGGCGGAATATTGAACAAGGGGAATTGTGAAGCAAGCGGTATTGTGAGAGGCAAGAGGAATTGGTAAGGAGGCGGAATTTTGAAACAAGATGAATTGTGATGCAGGCGGAATATTGAACAAGGGGAATTGTAAAGCAAGCGGTATTGTGAGAGGCAAGAGGAATTGGTAAGGAGGCGGAATTTTGAGACAAGATGAATTGTGATGCAGGCGGAATATTGAACAAGGGGAATTGTGAAGCAAGCGGTATTGTGAGAGGCAAGAGGAATTGGTAAGGAGGCGGAATTTTGAAACAAGATGAATTGTGATGCAGGCGGAATATTGAACAAGGGGAATTGTGAAGCAAGCGGTATTGTGAGAGGCAAGAGGAATTGGTAAGGAGGCGGAATTTTGAAACAAGATGAATTGTGATGCAGGCGGAATATTGAAACAGGTGGAATTGCGAAGTAGTCGATATTGTGAGAGGCAAGGTGAATTGTAAAGCAGGCGGTATTGTGAGGCAAGGGGAATTGCGAAGCAGGGGAATATTTAAACAGAGGGAATTGTGAAGCAGGGAGAATTGAGGAGAAAAAATGTGTAAGCGAGAAGGCCGGCCAAAGGCTTTTGAATCGGATCTTGAGTTGAATTGTTTTGTTATGCTAGCGGAGTCACACGACGCCTGTGTGTACCCTATCAGCTGCACCTATTAGATGCTTTGCTTTGTTAAATGTATTGGTAATCAGGAAATGTTTTAATGCTGGTCAATGTCATGATAATCGGGTTTTTGATTATGATTGGATTAGGGCCAATTTTGAGGTTGTGATAAGTTGACTTGGAGTTTGTTTTTTGGTTTGTTTTGTTTTTGCTAGCGGGGTGGGGCGGCCGAAGGCCGACCAACTCCGCTAGTGTATCAAATATTCATTTGAGAACAAAGACTTTCGGCCCAGTTAGTATAGTGATTAGTACTTCTCGTTGTGGCCGAGACGACGCAGGTTCGATTCCTGCACTGGGCATCTTTTGGTTATTTTCATTTTAAATAAATGAATTTAAGAGTTGTTTCTAAAACATTATTTTTTAAATTATTTTAATTACAAATTTTTAAATTCAAAATTTTTTAATTAATCAACAATATCTATGTCTAAATTCAACTACTATTTTCTACTATATAAACAGTTAATATTTCCCTCATTGAGAGTGATTTTTGTGTTCAGTTTGTCTTCTCAAAGAAGATCAACAAAGGATGTCAGGTTATATCAGCAGTCCTTCTTTGGCTTCTTCCAATATCCGTCCTCCAGTTAGGCGTTCACAAGTTATTTCTACAAAAGATGCTGAGCCTCCCGGGTAATTTTATTAAAATTTCAAATAAATTTTTGTAAATTCTTTTTTTAAGGGCGTGTGCCAATCTTTTGGTTTGCTTTGCTGTCTTCTTGTTGATCTTAACATTCCCAATCTCTATCTTCTTTTGTATCAAGATTGTCAACCAATATGAACGTGCAGTTATTTCTCGTCTTGGGAGATTGAGAAAGGGAGGGGCTAAAGGGCCGGGTTTGGATTTGTTGTTGATTCTCTAAAAGAAGTCCTTTTTTAATTTTAAGGTCTTTTTCTTGTAATTCCTTGCATTGATGAATACCAAAAGGTTGATTTGCGTCTTGTTTCATACTCCGTTCCTCCTCAAGAATTGCTCTCAAAGGATTCTGTAACGGCGAGTGTTGACGCTGTTTGTAGTTGTTTGTTTAGGAGTAGTTAATTACCCTTAATTTATTTAGGTAATCTATTTCCGTATTTCGGATGCAACAATCTCTGTTGTTAATGTGGAGAATGCTGAAGCTTCTACAAGATTGTTGGCTATGACTACTCTTCGAAATATTTTGGGAACTAAAACTTTGAGTGAAATGCTCTCTGATCGTGATCATATTTCACAAGAAATGCAGGCAAATATTAAAAATTGATTTTTAAAAAAATCTAAGAAATTTTTTAGAGATCTTTGGATGAAGCTACAAATGATTGGGGAGTTCAGGTGGAACGAGTTGAAGTTAAAGACGTTAGACTTCCTGGGACAATGCAACGGGCTATGGCCGCAGAGGCAGAGGCCACACGGGAGGCTAAAGCTAAAGTAAGGGGAAAGAGAAGGAATTTTTGAAAGAAAAATATTTTTTAAATAGATAATTGCTGCTGAAGGCGAACAAAAAGCCTCTAGTGCTTTGCGTGCTGCTGCTCTTGCAATTTCTGATACTCCAACAGCTCTACAATTGCGATATCTTCAAACTTTGGGAGAAATTAGTGCTGACAATAATTCTACAATCGTTTTTCCGTAATATTTCTTCTAAAAATTCTTTTTAAAATTTCTTTTTTTTTAAGTTTTCCGGTTGACTTTATGTCAGTTTTTGGTAAACACTCTGTTCAAAAATCTTCGGAAAGTACAGTTAAACAAAAAACCAAAGAAAGTGAAAAGGAAAAAACTAAAGAAGATACGACAAAAGAAGAAAACACGAAGGAAGATAAATCTAAAAAAGACAAAAATACTGAACAAGAAAAAAGTAAAGCTGTTGAACAATACTTCAAAAAAAGTAGTCCGAGAGAGAAGAAGGAAAAGCCTAAGAAGAAGCAATCTTCAACAGGGAAGAAAAAGTAGTAAGAAAGAGGAAATAAGTAGGAAGTAAAAAATAAATATATAGTATATGTAGTAAGTAGGAGGTCGGTCGGAAAGGACGAAGGTGACGGAAATCGGAAATGGCTCAAAAATCGGAAACCAGCCTAAAATTTCGGAAATCGGAAATCCGACCGACCCCTGGTAGGAGGTAAATAAAAACAAATGTAAATAAGTATAATTTGTATGTTTTTGTGAGTAATTTTTCTCATCGTATAATAAATATTCTAGTTAAAGCTTATCTTAAATTTTTAGAATTCTGACCGTATCTGAAAGGAGTGCCTGGTTGAGTTTTTTCCTTATTTCCTTATGCCGTGTTTACATAAAAAGCGTCTTGCGTTTTGCGGAAAAAAATAGCATTGAAAATAGAGAGACGCGATTTTGTCTCTCCTTCTTTTGAATGCTATTTTTTTCCGCAAAACGCAAGACGCTTTTTATGTAAACACGGCATTAGACTGCCTAGGAATGGTCGATTTTCCTTTATATTTGATATTTTTTCGTAAGGTAAAAATGTGTAAAAGGATTAATTTTTTTCATTTTTTTGCTAATTTTGTTTAACTTTTCATACATTCTATGTTTATTTTTCAAAAAATTATGGTTGTTTTGCCTAAAATGGCTTCGAAAAATACAAATGTTGGTGATCCTAGTCGTGGCAGGGTAAAACACGGACCGGGCACGACATTGAACGACAAAACACGGGCTTGCCAACATACGGAACGACCAAAATACAGAACAACAAAACACGGACCAGACCGTGTTTTCTGTTCCGTATTTTGGAATTCCTTGTTTTGCCCTTCACACACGATCTTACAGAAGTTAGCAAAAATAGGAAAGGAAAAAGGCCATTCTAAAAAAAGAAAGAAAAAAGTCAACCAGGCACTCCTTTCAGATAGAGCCGAATTCTTGTAGTTCCTAACAAAAAATAAAAACTTTATCCAAAAAAATATAAATTTGTTTTTTAACTGATTATTTTTAAAAAATAAAAATATTTTTTAATCAAAAATGTATGTAACTGCGTGTATTTCTTTAAAAATCCTTTTAATTTTTATGTTGTTTCAGGCATCAATTAACTTAAAAAATAAATCTATTTATTTTTTAACACTTATTTTTAAATACTTAATCAGGTACAAATGCTGGGTGTTCACTTTTCTTTTCCATTCCCAAATCTCCACAAAAATTGTTTACCTTTATTTTTATTTTTAATTTAAAGAAAATAATTATTAATTTAAATTACATGTTGGGCAGTTTGGGATGAATGGCTTTGTTGATTAGAGTTATTCCCAAAATGATTTTGGACAAACATTGACATTAAATCAACTGGGAATCTTTAAAAAGACATTTAAAAAGGGGGAACTTTTAATTTACGGGAAAACAATTGTAGAATTATGTTCAGCACTAATTGTCCCCAAAGTTTGTAAATAACGTAATTGTAGAGCTGTTGGAGTGTCAGAAATTGTAAGAGCAGCATCACGCAATGCTCGAGAAGCTTTTTGTTCACCTTCAGCAGCAATTATCTATTTAAAAAATTTAATTAAAGTTCTTCATTTCTCTTCATTATCCCTTTCATTATTAAATATTTAAAAATAATTTATTTACTTTAGCCCTAGCTTCACGTTGAGCCTCTGCCTCAGCGGCCATAGCTCGTTGCATTTCACGAGGAAGACGAACATCCTTAACTTCAACTCTTTCTACTTTAACACCCCAATGTTCTGTTGCCTCATCAAGAACTTCCTTTAAAAATAATTTTAAAAATTCCTCTCTAATCCTTTTCTACCTGCATTTGATGGGAAATATGGTCACGGTCAGAAAGCATTTCACTCAAAGTTTTAGTTCCAAGTACATTTCTAAGGGTTGTCATAGCTAATAATTTTGTTGAGGCTTTTGCATCTTCTACATTAACAATTGAGACTGTTGCATTTGAAACACGAAAATAGACAACCTTTTTTTAAATTAAAAATTAATTTCTATTCCTTTTATTTAACAACTAACAGCGTCAACATTAGCAGTCACAGAATCTTTTGAAAGTAATTCTTGTGGAGGCACTTGGAATGACACAACACGTAAATCAACTTTTCTATATTCATCAATACAAGGAATAACAAAAAATAAACCCGGCCCTCTCGCCCCTCCTTTTCTCAATTGGCCTAAACGAAAAATAACTGCACGCTCATATTGGTTGACAATCTTTAATTAAAATAATTTTTATTTTAATTTTTTTAAAAGGAATAAACTTGCCTTAATGCACATAAACACAGAAATTGGGAAAGTAATTATTGTAAATATATATGAAATTATAATTAATATTTGTGCACAAAGTCTGAAAAATATATTTAAATATTTTTAATTTTAATTTAGTTTAAAAAATAAAATTTAAAAGTTTCTTTCATTAATCCTCCTACAGAGTATATTTAATTTATCCCAAAAAATATTTATTCTGAAAAGCTTTCTAGGAATAAGAAAAAACATTTTTTACCCATAAGGTTCGGCCTCAGCAGCTTCTTCAGTTATTCGAGGCTTTCGAGCACTTGGAGGCGAATAATTCTGTTGTCTATTATCCCCAACAACATTATTCTCTCCCTCAACAATAATTCCCGTCATTCTTCCATTATTGCTGTTGTCCATTTAAAATAAACTTTTCTTTGAAAAAAAATTCTTTGCTTTTTTAATGAGAAAATAGGTATATTTTATTTTAATGAAATAAAATAAATAAATGCTACTATGGAGATAAATAAATATTTTATGTTCAAATAACTTTTAAAAAATTGTAGGTAGGTTGGCTTTGTTAGAGAAAAATGAAAGAAAAAGGGTAAAATAAAAATTAAAAAAAAAGTTTAGAATAATATAAAAATAAATATTTTATTAAAAAAAATAAAAAAGAAAAAATATTTTTTGTCAATATTTTCACTAAAATCAATTAATTTATTTGGCAATCAAAAAAAAGGAAATTAAAAACAAAAATAAAATATTGCCAAAATAAATAAATTTCTTTGAAGAAATTCTCCAAATAAAAAACCTGAATTTTTTGTTTACATTATAAATCTATTTAAAATTTAAAAATATTTGAAAAAAATTCCTTCAATAAATTGAATGGTCAAATAGTAAATTTGAAGAAAAATTATTAATTTAGGTATTTAAAATTAAATATATGTACATACATATTTTAGATAAAAATAAAATCACAAAAAAAGGAGTGGTTGGTGACCAATTTTATTTGGAAACTATAAATAAATATATTTATTTAAAGGTAAACAAAAAAATGATGAGCAATTCGATGATGAAATTTTTATCTAAAATAATTATTAGCTATAAAAAACTTGTGATTAATTAAAAATGAAATAATTTTTTAAGCAAATTTAAAAGGGAATTAATTTAAATAAATTATTAATTGACTAGAAAATTGGCAATAAAAAATAAATAAATTTTTAAATATACAATAAATTAAAAAGATTTATTTATGTAAACTTTGTAAAATAGTCCTAAACTATTAATTCTAAATAAATTTGTCTGTCAAACATAGGGTTTTTATTTAAATTTCCAAATAAAAAAGAATTAAAAAATCAAAAAAAAATAAGAAGATTTAATAGTTTAATAACAATTCTTTTCAATATTTCCCAAAATAACAATTTTTAAAAAATCAACGGAAAAAGAGGGAGAGAGAGAGGGAGGGAGGGGGGGGGGGAAGAATTTTAAAAAGACTACCTATATGTAATTGATCAAAAAGCTAGTAAATAATAATTTTTTCTAAATTTATTGTAAATTAATTAGAGCCGATATATGATTCAAAGGCTTTATTTATTTCTAATAATCCAGATTTTTAAATAAATAATTATTAATATTTTTACAAAAAAGATTTTGTAATAAAAAAAGTCTTTTTTGGTTTTAGTAATATCGAGAAATCCTGTTTTTATTTTATTTTCTTGTCCTGTTTCAAAGAGATTTGACTGACACACATATTTATTATGTAATTATTTATATATTTATTTTATCTTCTTTTTATTTAAATCATTGCCTAAAGCAATTATTAGCAAACATTTTTTAATTAAACGAGATATTTTTGAGGGAGGGGGAGGGAGGGAGAGAAGGTGGGAGGAAGGAGTATATAAAAGAGGGATATATAAGGAGATCAAATAAGATAAAACGTTAGTTAATTAAATAAAATATATACAAAATAATGTTGTCCAAAGAATCTAAATTTTTATTTTTATTTATTTTATTACAACTTTGTTGTGGACATCCACGTTTGTTTTTGTTTTAAAAAATATTCATTTATTTATTAAAAAATATATAGAATATCGCCAATTAAAATGTGCAACCCCTGATGGCCAATTAAAAGCTGGAAAGGAACGTGCTCGTTGCCATATGATAATAAAAGATACGGAAACTGAAAGTCCCGGAAGGCCTGCACCCGAGGGAGATGGCTGCTTTACTGTAAGTTTTGAGGATTTAAAGCTAAAATAATAATTTTAAAATAAAAGGAACAACATGGAGATGAAGAACGTGTTTATTGTGATTTAGTTTGCCCCAAAGCCCATACTGTATTCCACGCTTCGTTTAATCACGGACATCGTGCTTGCTTTAATTATTATACTTATCAATTAGAAAAACGAGAAAATGATTGGTAAATTAAGAGAAAAGATTTTAAATAATTAAATAAAAAAGGTATATATGGAGATCAGCAAATTGTTTAAATTCTACCGGGACTTGGACTATTGGCTGTAAATTTGATGAACCTTTTAATAAACAATTTGCATCTGATCAGGTAAAGAAAAGTAAAAAATAAATAATTTTTTTTTACTTTATAGGAAGTCTTTGCACGTTTGAGAGCTCGAGCAAGAAAGGCACTTTAAACAAAAAGAAAAGAAGAAATAAATAAATAATTTAAAATAATTTATATTATATATTTAAATAACAATTAAAAATAAATAAAAAAATATTTAAAGAGCAATTTTCATTTCTTGTACAGTATAGTAATCAGAATTATTTTGTGAATATTGACTTTCAGAAGCTGCTTTAATAGAAGAGGATAATTGAACAATTAAAGGTGTTGGTGGTGGGGGTAGAGAAGGACGCCTAAAAAGATTTTAATTTAAAATTAACGAGGATATGTCCAAAAAATTATTTTAAACTAATTACCATAAATCAACAATTCCATAAGAATGTGTTGGTGGTGGAGGAGGAGGAGGTGGTGGTGATAATATAAAATGATGTAAAGGAGGGGGGAATGGGGGTCTACATAAAATATCACAAAAATTATCTGATTGGGAAGAAGAAGAAAAATTATTATTTTTTCTATTTAAATTTAATTCTTCAATTTGTTTTTTAATTTTTTGTTGCCTTTTACGTTGACAAATTAAAACAAACAAAACAGAAATAATTATTGAAAGTAAAAAAAGAAAAATAAATGAAAGGGGTAACAATAATTGAGAAGAATTTGTTGTAGAATTTATTGTTAATGTTGTTGTTAATTGGTGATTTAAAGTTGAAGAAGAAGAGGAGGGGGAGGGAAGTAATAAATTCTAAATATTTACATATGTGTTAATAATTAAATATTTAACTAAAAAAATCAAAAAAGGGACAGCCAAATAATTTACTTGAGGTGTCTGGAAGTATTTCAAACACAATTAACCGGACTGGGAATGTCTTGTACAAGAATTGTACGAAATGTCTCGAAAAATCTCGATCTATATAAACAAGATTCTTGTTTGTGAACTTGGCCCGGTCCGGCCAACTATTCAAAGAGCTACTTATTCCCCTTTTATTTTTAAATAATTAGTCAATTTCTCACCCTTTCAAACCCAATTAATCCCTCAATATCCAAATCTTTAACAATTTTCTCAATTTCAATATAATTAATTAATTTGGTTCCATTAAAGAATATTGTTTGTAAAAGTGCTGATTTTCTAGCAGGTATTCCATCCAAATCTGTTACCGGTTTATAACGAATTTCTTGTAAAAGTAAATTTAAAGGAGAAATTGCTTCGTTTAATAATCTTTAAAAAAAATAAAATTAAGAATTATTTTTTAAAAACTATACTTTAAATATTCCAAAACTTTTAAATTATTTAATTCTACAGGACTTTTATCAACCAAAATAGAAACAATATTTGTACTTTCAACTATCCAAATCTTTAAAAATAATTAATTTAAATTATAAGAAGAATCTTTCTTCAAAAATCCCCATTATTCCCTCCCCCATCCCTTCCCCTTCCTCTCCTTCTATTAATTTAGGTAATTCCCTTCCCCCTCCCCTTTCATTAATTATTTAAATAATATACATAAACAAAAGAATTAAAATCAGCTTTTCTCCCGTCCAAATTCTCTGCCGCCAATTCCAAAGTAAATAAACTTCCAGGGGAAAAATCTTCCACTGGGGAATTTAAAGAAATAATTCCATTTTGAGAATCCAAAGTAAATATTTTATTTGGGGGGTTTATTTGACGAGATAAACGAGAAAATGAGTAATTACAAGAAATTATTGAATAAATTATTTGATCTAAAATTTAAAAGATTATTTTATCCTCGCCCTTCCTCTCCCTACCATTTATTTCTTTATCAAAAGCATTTATTTGTCCAATAATATACCCAACATAAACAACATCCCTTTCTAACACAAAATTAAAATATTTTCGTTCAAATATTGGATTATTATCATTTCTAAAATTTTAAAGAAAAATTAATTTTTAAGTAAATAAACAAACAAATTATTTATATTAATTAACAATTCTAAATTTCCATCATTCCTTTCCTCTCCATCCAAATTATTTTCATTAATTATCGAAAACCGTAAAGGTAAATTTTCTTCACCAAATTCTTCAAAATCAATTTCACGTAAAGTTCTGATCTGTTAAATTAACTTTTATGAAATTTTTATAAATTAAAGAGATAAGAGAGAATTTAAATGAAATATGTATTGTCGAAATGAATGTTTTGGATCCATTCTCTAGTCCAGGCTTGGGAATGGATACGGATATGGATACAGATAATTTTAAAATGCAGATAATTTTTTTTAAATATTAATTATTTCCCCTTCCTTACTTCTCCATTATTTTTATTAATTTCAATTAATTTTTCTTTGTTTTTTTCTTCTTTAATAAAATAATTATTATTTCCATTATTTTTAATTGTTGTCAATAAACTTCCTTTTTCAATTCCTTCATTAATTTGTAAAATTAAAGGAGAAATTCCTCCATTATTTGGAATTTTTAAATTATTTTTAATTAATTTATTTTTATTTATTTGGATAATTAAAAGAATTTTTGAAGAAATAAATACTCCACTTTGTGCCCAACAAATTAACTTAAATAAATAATTTTTAAAAATTAATTTTAAAATTATTTACAAAAATTTGTTTATTATTTTCTGTTAAATTATTCAATAAAGAAATTGAAATTAATCCAGTTTGGTTATTTAAATTAATTAAAATATTCTCCTCTTCTTTTTTATTTTCTAAATAATAATTAATTTGTTGACATCCTTTAGCTTTTGAATTTATATATGCAGAAATTGAAGTAATTGGAATTAATTGGTGGGAAGAAGAAATTAATTCCTAAATAAATTTAAATAATCAATTAATTAAACAAAATTTAACAAAAAATTTTTCTCAAAAATCTGGGGGTTTCAAT